TTGTGCAAACTACTGTAACTACTTTTGGATTACTTTTACAGATTGTTTACTCTATAGATTTAGAATATACTGCATTTGCTGTATATCTGATGGTGTAAACTATGATTGGATTAAACTTTTGGATTACATTTAGATTACTTTTCTGCTATGATTTATTTGAATTTGTATATGTTTTTTTAATCTAGCTACTTTCAGATACTTTTAGGTTCCTTTTAGATTACTTTTGTTCTAACACAGTACTTTTGGATTACATTTAGATTACTTTTGTTGTAACTGACTGCTTTTGGATTACTTTTAGATTACTTTTGTGTTAACCCTTATTTAAAGTCAACTATGGTAACAGAATATTTTTGGATTACTTTTGTTGTAATTGACTACTTTTGGATTACTTTTAGATTACTTTTGTGCTAACCCTTACTTGATGTTGCATACAGTAAACTAATTTGACTCCTTTGGATTAGATTCAGATTACTTTTGTGCTAAACCTTATTTAATGTTAAGTATGGTGACACAATTTGACTACTTTTGGATTACTTTGGTTCTAATTGTTTACTATTGGATTACATTCAGATTACTTTTGTGTTAACCTTTATTAGACGTCAAGTATGGAAACATAATTTGACTACTTTTGTTGTAATCCAACTACTTTTGGATTACTTTTAGATTACTTTTGTGTTAACCCTTATTTGATGTCAAGTATGGCAACATAATTTGACTATTATTGGATTACTTTTATGGTAACGGACTACTTTTTGGTTCCTTATAGATTACTTTTGTTCTAACAGAGTACTTTTGGATAACATTTAGATTACTTTTGTGTTAACCCTTATTTAAAGTCAACTACGGTAACATAATTTGACTATTTTTGGATTACTTTTGTTGTAATCGGGCTACTTTTGGATCACTTTTAGATTACTTTTGTGCTAACCCTTACTTGATGTTGCATACAGTAAACTAACCTGACTCCTTTGGACTAGATTCAGATTACTTTTGTGCTAAACCTTATTTGATGTTAAGTATGGTAACACAATTTGACTACTTTTGGATTACTTTTAGATTACTTTTGTGCTAACCCTTACTTGATGTTGCATACAGTAAACTAACCTGACTCCTTTGGACTAGATTCAGATTACTTTTGTGCTAAACCTTATTTAATGTTAAGTATGGTGACACAATTTGACTACTTTTGGATTACTTTGGTTCTAATTGTTTACTATTGGATTACATTCAGATTACTTTTGTGTTAACCTTTATTAGACGTCAAGTATGGAAACAGAATTTGACTACTTTTGTTGTAATCCAACTACTTTTGGATCACTTTTAGATTACTGTTGAGCTAACCCTTATTTAATGTTGCATACGGTAAACCAGTCTGACTCCTTTGGAGTACATTAATTATCAGCAACAAGAGCTTCAAAAGCTTATTGTTGAGGTGCAATGATGGACAGTTAATACCTCGCGATACTAAATAGCCCATCCAACATCTTTACATGTTAAAATAAATACAACTTTCATTAACTTTATTAATGTGCTTTTATAAATATGCCATAATTTGGGTTGATTTTGGAGATTGAGGACCTGAAATAACAGATGTGTTTACTCTACAGATTTAGAATATACTGCATTTCTTACAGTACTGCATGTGATACTCTATAAATACAAAATGTGTAATCATATACACCCAATACACCCCAAATAAACCATAATGGGTGGTGAATGAATGTACAAAACTCCCTTTGTGATGTTGAAAGGGTGCGTCGATGATTTAATACTCGCAAGATTATTGTGAAATATGTCAAATATGAGCAAAACTCATAACTAAACTCAAAACCATTTATCCTATAACATGCTGTAGTCTGTATTTAACCCTGACTTTAATGTTGTGTGCTCATATTAACCCTGACTAATATGTTTTGCCATTTTAGGTGATATGCTGTACTTCACTTTGTCTGAGAAGGGATTATACAGAATCAATAAAAACAAAGAGAGGAACATTTGGCCTCCGTCGACTCAAACGGGTGAGAATTTAGATGAACATGTCTAATAAGGCTTTGTATTTTAATGTTGTATTTCTGTTTCAGTGCTGTTGACTGTAAACTGAACTGTTTCATTGGCACAGTATTCAGCCAAATGAGCTCAAGTCATGATGAAAATGATGCTTTTTTAATACTGTTTTTTTCCTCCGTCACATTTAGAGCAGAAGTACTTGAAGCTGATCGCTGGTGAAGGCCAACACAAGGACAAAATGTATTCGTTCTTCGCAGAAAAACACAAAAATAAGGAGGATGAATCTGACCAGTGGATTCCACGAGTGTCTCAGAACTGCATGGTGAGAAAACACAGTCAATAATAACAAACGAGGAACATCGCTGTGTTTTACTGTACTTCTTTTGTGCTGAGCCTTATTTGGTGTCACATGTTATCTGGATATATTTGCATTACATTTACTTTTGTGTTAAACTTTATTAGAGATCACAGATGGTAATGGTATTTACAGGGTAAATGCAGGAATGAAGGATCATTTTTAAGCCTTTTTAAAAACCTTCTCCGAATATTTTAATCGCTAGAGCACTCCACGGGCCTTAATCTAAGCTCTAGCCCAGCCCGAGGCGAACAGGCTGTACCACAGCCGTTGTCCGCCAGCTAATCGATTGTTGGCCCGAGTCTGACTCGAAGCACAAACAGCTCATACTGTTACAGTTATTAAAATAAACCAGATCTGTATTAACAGACAGTTGATTTATTTTTGTTTCATTTTTTTTATCAGAATAATTTAGAGAAATGTTTGGAGTTTTTTTAAATGTAGGATTTAGTTTAAGTGACATCGATATTCAAGCGGTGTGTTGTCCACAGTGAGTTTAACCCAGTTCAATTTAACCCAGTGAAGCCTGCAGGCGTACGGCTGTTTGCCCTGTCAATTCAAAATATTCGTACCTACCATGACAGGCCGCGAATTAATGCAGCTTTTTGATTGATTGATTGATTGATTGATGTGACGAAGTGGCTGACACAGAGAGATCCATTTGCAGTATCTTTATTAAACACAGTTTAATAACAATAAGCACACGGATGTAATGCGTGTGCAAACTCACATCAAACACAGTATAAGGTCGAAGGGCTGGTGGCAGGTAAACACAGGATGAGTATGCAGGCATGGGTCAGAGGCAGGCAGCTAATCTCAGAGTCGGTGTGCAGGCTAGAGTTTAAGGCAGGCGGCTTGGATCAGAGTCGGGATTCAGGCACAGGTACAAGGTAGGCGGCAGGCAGAACAAGGTCGATGATCAAAGCAAGGTTAGCAACGGGTATGTACTGAACGGGTAGTGTTAGCCGGGGCAGAACAAGACTTCACAATGAGACTGAGTGTGTGTGCTGCTTATAAGTGTGAGCCGGGTGATTAGGAGATGTGCTGCAGGTGTAAGTGCTAATCAGTCAATGGATGATGTAATGTCAAAAGTCTGGTGATGATGACCTCTGCTGGCCAGCGAGGGGAATGACTGGGATCGAGTCGGTGACAATTGATGTATTTATTTATTTAATAATTTAAACAGATTATTAAACAGTATACACTACAATATATTGACAAAGCATAAAAGAATGAGAATAAATAAAGGTGTACGTTTTAAATTAATTATTAATAATAATAATTAATATTAAAGAGATTTCTAAAGGCTCATGTGACTCTAAAGAGTGCAGTAATGAAGCTGAAAACTCATCATTAAAATCACTGGAATAAATTATTAAATTAGATTATAAACTAATTTTGAACAGTTATTTTATAGTGCAACAACATTTATAGTGCAACAACATATGATTAAATAAATGCAGCCTTGCTGAGCAGGAGAATCATACTGACCCTAAGCTTTTGACTGGTAGTGTGTGTGTGTGTGTTTGTGTGTGTTTGTGTGTGTGTGTGTGTGTGTGTGTGTGTGTGTGTGTGTGTGTGTGTATGTGTGTGTGTGTAACAGATGGAGTATGTCTGAACTTCCTCGGCAAACTTTCACCTTCTTAAATGAGACGGTTATATTTTGGTAGATGCAACAGCAGCTCAATACCCTTCCGCAGAAATTCAGCCACAGTGGTGCTAAAGGGAACATTTCTATAATTATCAGCTCATGTGAAGATGCAGCAGGTTCTGGCGGTTCAGATGCTGGTCATCTCTATATAGATGCAATTGAAAGAGGCCTTTGTTTAAAACCTGCCAGAAATACATTAGCTGTGTGTTCATGGGCGTCGCTTGGCCTATTTTATGGGGCCTATATTTTTATGGGGCCCTATATTTCTACTCAGCCCCCCTAAAACTTTAGCGATTAGCTCATAAACTGCACACTAAACTATCGCCTCAGTCCCCTTTAAATTTTATTATAAATACGGAGGCAGAACTGAGCTCCTCCTCATCTTTTGTTTTCATTTGATCAGGAAACCACAGCCGTGGACAGAGAGAGAGCGAGGTGTGTGTTTGGCGATAAATTGTAATAATATTTGCTAATCTGCAGTTCTTTGATATACATAACTTTGTATCACCTGTATCTCAATGCCACAGAGTTTTCTCGGCGTTCACCTCATCAGCACAGCTGTTCCCTCAGTTCAACTCCAAACGAACATTTCGCTATTTTTATTTCAAATTGAACTACTAATGTTAAACACTGTACAGTTTGTGTGGCATTAACTACACCATACAGTCGTGCACAGAAAGCATTAAACACAGTGACAGAAGCACTTAGAGAATGTACTCATTTAACGGTCACCGAGTCACTGACAGAGATAGAAATATCAAGTGTTGTCAAGTATTAAATACTTCTTATTCAGATGGTGAAATATGTGAATTAGTCTGTAAATTTAAATATATATATTTCTATGTGTGCCATTTAATTAGAAAAATGGCAGTTTATTTAATACATGTAAACAAAAAAATGCACTTAAATATAAAAAGTATTAGTGTACTACAGTAAACAGGTGAGTGGAGCATATTTGCCTAATTCAGAACTCAAATGTGTCTAATGCGGTGGAATACTAGTATACAACTCACATAAACAAACATTAAGTGTGTTACTATTAATTTACGACTTATTAATGTAATATGAGGCTTATATATTTATATATTTACAATCAAAGTCAGAATTATTCGCCCCCTTTGAATTTTTTCTTCTTTTTTAAATATTTCCCAAATGATGTTGAAAAGATTCAGAAACTGTTCACAGTATGTCTGATAATATTTTTTCTTCTGGAGAAAGTCTTATTTGCTTTATTTTGGCTAGAATAAAAACAGTTCTTAATTTTTTAAACACCATTTTTAAAAAGAAAATTATTAGCCCCTTTTTTCACCAATAGTCTACAGAACAAACCATCGATATAAAGCAACTAGCCTAATTACCCTAACCTGCCTAGTAACAGTTAAACCATTAAATGTCACTTTAAATATAATAGAAGTATAGAAGTGTCTTGAAGAATATCTAGTCTAATATTATATACTGTCGTCATGGCAAAGATAAAATAAATCAGTTATTAGAGATGAGTTATTAACACTTATGATGAGAAATGTGTTGAAATAAATCTCTCCGTTAAACAGAAGTTGGAGGAAAAAATAAACAGGGGGGCTAATAATTCTGACTTCAACTAGACAGACAGACAGACAGACGGACAGACAGACCGACAGACAGACAGACAGACCGACAGACAGACAGATAGATAGACAGATAGATGGATGGATAGATAGATAAACTGATTGGTTGATTGGTTGATTGGTTGATTGGTTGATTGATTGATTGATTGGTTGATTGGTTGATTGATTGATTGATTGATTGATTTTTGGCCTTATGAAGAGCTGAGCCCCCCTTGAAAATCCTAAAATTGCCCCTGTGTGCGTTTATATAAAAATAACAGCACACTTTAGAATTGCTAAATTTGTGGCTAGGTCCTTTTTGAAAAAAAAAAAAAGAGTTGCAAAGATAGTATGAAAAGTTGCTAAATCTAGCAACAAAATTGACAAGTTGGCAACACTGCTTGCGCCTGTAAACACAGCACCCCCTCTGTTCAAAACATGCAGCACAGTCAAAACATGGTCATCACAGGGTGACACCAGGCCCGTGCAGAGAGGAGGGCGGTGTCGCAAACTGAAATGCTGGGGTGCGGGGGGGGGGGGTTGAAGGGGGAGTCGTTGACGGTTTCCTCGGGGTGCTCAGGTGTACAGGTGAATTGGGCAAGCTAAATTGTGCGTAGTGTTTGTGTGTGAATGAGTGTGTATGGATGTTTTCCAGAGATGGGTTGCGGCTGGAAGGGCATCCGCTGCGTAAAACAAGCTATATAAGTTGGCGGTTCATTCCGCTGTGGCGACCCCGGATTATTGAGAAGACCAAGCCGAAAAAGAAAATGAATGAATGAATCAAATATTTGAATGGATTTTCAAGCGCCTCACAGTGAATCATTACATTGATACTTTCTAGTTATCATATAGTCACCCTCATCATGTGAAGGATTTTTCTTCTTCTTTGAAACATCAGCCTGCAAACAGTTTCAATAAAAGCACCAGAAATAAACTATACAATAACAGATATAATTAAAGGTTATTCTAACAGGGGCACTTGTTAAGTTTGATACAATAAAAAAGTAAATAAGCTTCTGTTAATAAATAAAAACACAATCTGACTGAATTTGCTGAGGCTATTTTAATAATATTTTTAGCAAAAATGTAATAATTTTTAAAATGTGCACTGATGCGTTTCAGAATGACAAAGGAGGTCCTAAAGGTCAGCTCCAGAGCAGCTGGACGTCCATGATTTACGCCCGTCTGGAGTGTGGGAAAAGAGACTTCACTCAGCTCATAGATGTCGCCACAATAAAAACAACACACGATACCAAAATATACGCACTTTTCAGAAACTACTGGTAAGACAATACTTATCTTTTATTTTAAATCTTATAGTTTACAACACAATAAAGAAAACAAGCTCATATTCCTAGTCATGTGACCTGTGAAGGTTGAGCCGTAATGGCGGCTACGCTGAGAGCTCAACAGACATGCAGCACAATCCACTCGTATTTCCATCTGTGAATATTTGCATCACATATCAACAGAATTACACGGAGAAACGATCACAAACTGTACACTGTGTGCACTTGTGGTGCATATTCTGCTGATTTCAGCTGTTTTAAAACCCTCATGTGCCTGTCAGAGCTACATTTCAGCCATGTTTACCTTTATCTTGTGGATATTCCTCAGAGGTTCAGTCATTAATGATGGTATTAAAGCGTAAAAGTGTCTACTTTGCATTTAATTTGATACTTTAATTGCATTTAACCTGTAAATTATAATAGAAACTGTATAAAAAGCAGACAAATGTACTGAAATTCATAGGTAGTATAGATTGTTATGGGTCAATGATTGTAAAATGTCCATACATTTCTACATTCTGACTGATCTATGAAACAGAAAGGTGTGTCTGATTGTTGGTTAGTAAAGCTATACTGCATCTTGGATTTTCAGCAAAAAAAAAAGTAAATTACTCAGCAACTTTTGCATTGAGTGTTCCTGAGTGTGTGTTAATACAACTCTCCATGACGTAGATCCCTTTAATGTTTTTAACTTTGGTGTTAAATGTGCTGAAGTTCTCTAAACACTGAGAAAAGAGAAGAAGTGTGTGCTTGAATCGTGAACTTCTGTCTGGTTTACAGGAACATGAGTGCTGTGTGTGTTTATAGCATGACACTGAGCTGTTTTATTACAGCGTCACCTCAAAGCTCACATTATGGTTCTCGTTTCAGTTTCACCACTGAAAATGATTAAAACTAAGCTATTTGAGTCAGTGATTCAATAATCCTTTCAAAGCTACAGTCATTTGTTTGCTTAATGAATGAATCAACTGTTCCGAATGAATCATTTGAGTCAGTGATTCAATAATCCTTTCAAATGGACAGTCATTTGTTTGCTTACTGAGAGAATCAGCTGTTCTGAATGGATCATTTGATTCAGTGATTCAACAATCCATTCAAGAAAATCATTTGTTTGCTTACTGAATGAATCAACTGTTCCGAATGAATCATTTGAGTCAGTGATTCAATAATTATTTCAAAAGGACAGTCATTTGTTTGCTTACTGAATGAATCAACTGTTCTGAATGAATCATTTGAGTCAGTGATTTAATAATCCTTTCAAATGGACAATCATTTGTTTGCTTACTGAATGAATCAACTGTTCTGAATGAATCTTTTGAGTCAGTGATTCAATAATTATTTCAAAAGGACAGTCATTTGTTTGCTTACTAAATGAATCAACTGTTCTGAATGAATCATTTGAGTCAGTGATTCAATAATACTTTCAAATGGACAGTCATTTGTTTGCTTACTGAGAGAATCAGCTGTTATAAATAAACTATTTGAGTCAGTGATTTAATAATCCTTTTAAAAATACAGTCATTTGTTTGCTTACTGAATGAATCAGCTGTTCTTAATGAATCATTTGAGTCAGTGATTCAATAGTCAATTAAAAAAAAGACAGACACTTGTTTGCTTTCATAGAGAACCAGTTGTTCTGAATGAATCATTTGATATAGGGATTCAATAATCCTTTTAAAATGACAGTCATTTGCTAGCTTTCTAAATAAATCAACTGTTCCGAATGAATCATTTGAGTCAGTGATTTAATAATCCTTTCAAGAAAGTCATTTGTTTGCTTACTGAATGAATCAACTGTTCTGAATTAATCAGTTGAGTCAGTGATCCAATAGTCAATCAAAAAAGACAACTACTTGCTTGCTTTCTGAATGAATCAGCATTTTTGAATGAATCATTTGAGTCAGTGATTCAATAGTCAGTTAGAAAAAATAGTTGCTTGGTTTCTGAATGAATCAGCTTTTCTGAATGAATCAGTTGAGTCAGTGATTTAATAGTCAATTTAAAAAGAGAGTTATTGGCTCGCTTACAGAATGAATCAGCCATTTAAAATGAATCGTTTAAGTCAGAGATTCAATAGACAGTAAAACAAGACATTAACCTGCTTGCTTACAGAATCAGCTTTTCAGAATAAATCATTTGAGTCAGTGATTCAATAGTTTATTAAAAAAAGACACTCAATTGTTTAGTTTCTGAATGAATCATTTAAGTCAGTGATTTAAGTCAATTAAAAAAGACAGTTACTTGCTCACTTTCTTAAAGAATCAACTGTTCTGAATGAATCTTTTGAGTCAATGATTCAAGATTCAATTTAAAAAGAAAGCCACTTGCTTGCTGAATCAGCCATTCTGAATGAATCATTTGAGTAAATGAATGATCCAATGAGTCACTCAGTGGGTGTTAAAATGAGCTGCAGTTTTCCAGAAAGAGAAGATGCGGGTGTTTAAAGTGTGAACTGCCTCTTTTACAGGAACATGAGTGCTGTGTGTGTTTATAACATGACTGAGATATCCACTATCTTCAATTCCTCCCAATTCAACGCCAATAATGTTCCTGTCAGTCACAGACCTGGAACGGTGAGAAATATATATATTTTAAAGTGAAATGTCAACTATATTACCTGCTTGATTAAGTATGTTGTGTTGTGCACAGTATATCATTTTAGCATCGACGTCAGCAATGCACACTGCTGACAACAAAAAAATGATGAGGTAAATGATTGTAACACTTATTTATCAGGGATCACCACAGCGGAATGAACCACCAACTATTCCAGCATATGTTTTACACAGCGGATGCCCTTCCAGCTGCAACCCAATACTGGAAAACACCCATACACACTCATTCACACACACACACACACACACACACACACACAGACACACTCATACACATGTGTTTGGACTGTGGGGGAAACCGGAGCACCCGGAGGAAACCCACACCAACACGGGGAGAACATGCAAACTCCACACAGAAACACCAACTGACCCAGCCGGGACTCGAACCAGAGACCTTTTTGCTAGGAGGTGATTGTGCTACCCACTGTGCCACCATGCTGCCCATATATATTAA